ATCCAAATCGCAGGTTAAGCATTTATTCCAAACAATCAATAAATTTATAATTTGTATGAAACACATCCATTCGTTTTATGGCAGTTCATACCCTAAAATCATTCGCAAAAATCATTTTCACAAACTTTATGAAAATATTTCAAAATTCGATAAAACATACTTTTATTAAAACATTTGAGGTTGACTCATCGCAAGTCGTCCTCATATCATATAAGTACATAATAGATGCACTCACCTGGAATGCCTCACTATTATGCCTTACTATAATCCGACTATTCTGGAACTTTTTCCTTGCCTTTTTGTTTTCCCGTCTCACGAATTTGATTACGATCTACAGAAGCATCCATATTCACACATACAAATATAAAATACAATGTTAGTATCCTTACTGGCATTTATACAAAATAATAATACTCAAAAGTATTATTATTTTCGAATTCTTTTATTAATAATGGGCCCTTGTCATAAATTCTTCAATCCAAGCCCAATTAATCCCAACAAAATTCCAGCATTTAATTTACAGCTCAATACCTCAACAATACCATAATTACCACTTAAGGATATAATTTTCTTAATATTCACCATTTTGTACATAAACTTTGCCATCTTTCCAAAATGGCTTAATTTCACGTTCTAAATTCAATTTCAGCCCTCAAAAAGTAATTTACAGTAATGTAAATAATATTATTGAGTAATTACACAATCATCCCATAACTTTTTCAAAATGCCAAATAGGTCCCTTAACTTTTGAGAAATTACAAAATGACCCAAAAAAATTTAAGGCTTGTAGAACCTTCCAAATATCATTTCTAATCCATGAGAATTTTTCCACAATTTTTCCCAACTTATTTCCTCATGGTTGAATGCTTTAGGGGTATATTTCTCATGATTTTAACTTGATTCAAGCATGAAACCAACCTCTATTCAACATTTCAAGACCTCTAGAATCAAACTCCTAACTAAATTTCATCAAAATACATCTTTCCTCTAAATCTAGGGTTTGGTAGAATTCAACATAGGCTTATATAGCCATGTACAAGTTATTTTAATCAACAATCTTGCTTGTATATGATTCTACAACCTCAAAAACATCAAAATCCTTCATTAATTTAATAAACCCTAATGTGATCACAAACCCTAGAATTTGGAAATTTTGAACACAAGAAAGATTAGCATGCAATATTAGTACCAAATGATAGTGTTTTTCGCTTATAACACCTTTCTATTTCACAACATGATCCAAAATCCAAAGGAAATTGCTCAAAAATGAAAAATAAAATTTCTCTTACCTTGTTCATGGGGAGCACGAAATGGAGCTGAAAAAAATGACCTAAGTTTCATGAAACTTTCATGTAATTTCATGTTAATTTAACCTTTATTTAAGCTTAAATGAATAAAATATTCATTTAATGAGAAATGTCCATTTTGCCATTAATGAAACTTGATAATTACCATCCAATCAAGCCACATCAACCTTATCATCTTTCAAAAGTCAAAGATGAATATATTATTTTACCCTTTTCCAATTTTGCCAAGCAAATTTCCAAAACTTGCAATCCTGCCACTTTAATCCAACGGTCCAAATTAAACATGGAAATAAATCTTCAAATCCAATGATCCATATTATTTTCCATCATTTTAACATGTGGAAATAATATTTTTAAGCATAATTTATCATCCTTCAATTTTTTCCGAAATTTCTATTCAATCTGATTTACCGATTTCTTACCGGACTTTAATCATTTCTAATTTTCAAAGTAAATTCCGGATCAAAGATATGATTTCAATAAAACCTCACTCTTAATAGTAAACTATATATTTGTGTAATAAAAATTATTTTTGAGAAAATTACCACTTAGGTCCATGGACTTTCCCAATTTTATACTTTGGCCACTTAACTTTCAAATTTTACATTTTGGTCACTAACTAAAAATTGAGGTATTACACCGATGGGTTGGTATCGATACTAATTCAAATAGTATCAATATTGAAGGCTCAATGGCTATAAATTTGATCATTGGAAGGCTTGGTCTCGAGACAACATGTCGGTATTGATACCAAATGTGCAGGTGAGCATTAAATGCTTAAAATTAATGAATCCAACAACTCTATTCAATCCCCAATGGCTCCAGATGGCTATAATGATGTTAGAAGACATAAAAGGGACCAAAATTCAAATGGAGAACTACAAGAAAGTCAATTGAAAAATCAAATCAACTTAAATATTGTTTAAGAGCAAAACAAATTGTCAAAGTCTTTGTAACACTTGTGAACTACATTGTTAAATTTTCTCAAGTGTAATTTTTGGTGAGTGCTTAATTTATGCAAATATATTTGCCTTTGTGAGGTTTTTCTTTTGTTTTCTAAATTTGTAATTTCTCTTCGGGAGAGTGTGCATTCAAGGTTTTGGGGTATAAACCTTGAAGTGTTTGTAAGGTTACACCTTGTCCTCAAAGGTTTGCAAACTAAGTGGATTTGAGAAATCCTTAGTGTGGCTAGCTAAGGTAATGGTTGTAGACTTGGTTTAGAAGTCGAACCACTCTAAATTATTTTGCAAAGTTTTTATTTTTTGATCGATTCCACCACAAAATTTCCAAAGACCAATTCACCCTCCTCTTCGCGGTTTTCGGTTGATCGATAAAGCTAACATTCTCAAACTATAATTGACATATCCTTTGACTCTGTATGGTCCAAAAACAATTGTTGTGCCTGTAATTGCATCGTCTTTCTTCTTTTTCATTTATCTCAAAAATACATTGAAGCAATACATGTGTATTATAGTTTATCCAATATAATAATTGATTATGGCAAGATTATTTTAACTGATTACGTACATTGAAGCAATACATTGAATCAAAATTTTGAAGCAATTCATTGAAGCAGTACTTCTCAAATCGATAATTGTAACTTAAACTTTATCCAATATATTAACTTTTTCATGATTCAATTAATATGACCTTTCCTTTAACCGATTATGTTATCTATAATTAATTGTTATTTTTCTCTAAGTATTGATATTTTTGGTAAAGTTCAATGCTTTGCACCTTTTTTATTTTCTATGTTATTTTAAATTCAAAATTATTGATATTTGTAAAAAAAGTTTGATATTTTTTAGCCATCTCTCTTTCCATGTTTTTTCAAATTCGACAGTATCAATATTTTCGTGGAAAAGAATTGATACTTACCTATCAGATAAGTTAATTGATTACGCCATTTTAAATTATTTTAAAATAGTTGCAACCTAATATATTACATGTAAGTAAACATTTTAAGTTGCGGTAAACTGATTTTGTTAAGATTCTTTTCAAATTTCTGGGTGTGTCGGTTTTCAGCCTTATATTAGTATGTCTTAAAATCTGTAACACTCTCTCGATATATCTTTTCTATGGTTTTTTTTTTTGGTGTTGAAGAAGTGAAAAAAGAAAAAAAAAGATTCGAAGATGGATTCTTAGGAACTACTTTATGGATATTTTTTTGCTAGTTATGCCTCTACCATGTACACAACTCAAGGTGCTTTTATCATCGCATCGAGAGGTTCTTTTCCTTTTTTTTTCTTTTTTTCTTTTATATAAATTCTCCTCTGCAGTTAAAAAAGAGGATTTATTTTGAAATGGTAAATTAGGATTTTCTTAAGGATTGAAGTTCCTTCTTAAATAGGATAGTCAATCGCTGATTAAAATTATTGTCTCGCATGATCAAATGGTGACATGCCAATCACTTCAATACATCATGTCAGCATTTTGTTACTCGAGTAACAATTGTTAATGGTCGAGCAACCAATTTTTTATAAATTGATAATATCTGATGCCAAATTATTCCTTTTGAAACATTAATGGGAATAAGAGAGATTTCCTTAGACTTCAGTGATCACTTAATGTAAGTTACCCTAAATGGTAAACTTTTTAAAGGTAGGGAAATTTAATCTGATCAAAGAACGGATAATAAAAAGTAAATTCTTCCTTGCAAGAACTGACGGCGATTCACGAAATCCAGTGACGGATGCACGTTCAATCCAGTGACGGATGCACGTTCACTTTAACGTGAACAAGTATCGAATGAATTTAGAAAAGGAGCTGCCAATTACAGGTTTAATCAACTATTTATAATTATACCTAAACAAGCATTATAGAACCATAGATAATTCTAAAATTTTAAATTAATATTGTATTTTAAGATAGGTTTATTTCACGGAAAATAGAATTTGAAAAATTATATTTATAAAATAAATTAAATTTAAAAACATATTTTAAAATCTAATTTATAGTGTGGATGTTGTTGTTTAAACCATTTTCATTGGTTGGTAATTTTTCTAAAAATTAATTTATTATAAGTATCAAATATAATAAATAATATTACTCATTATAAAAAAATTAATTTTATTATTTTAAAATATTAATAATTATTTAAAATTATTTATCTCAATATTAATATTATAATATTAGTTTTGATATTTTATATATAAACTATTAAATATAGTTTATTTTATTGAAATAAAAATATATTAATTATTTATTGAATTAAAAATATTTTATTAGTAAATAATAAATTAACATTAATTACTTATTATAATTTTTAAAGATATTTTCTACAGTTTTTCTAGTTTCCCGTAGGTGAAAAATAGATTAATTAATTAAATTTATTTTCTGATAATTTAAAAATATTTTTTATAAGACATTTTATGAAATTTTCACTTCAAAGGACAAATGTTTAAAAAAAATCTAGATAACATCTTTAAAAAATTGAGAAAAAAAATCTATTATCAGAAAATAAATTAAATTAATTAATCTATTTTTCACCTACGAGAAACTAGAAAAATTGTAGAAAACATCTTTAAAAAAAACAATTATAACAAAACAAACAAATCCTTATACAAGATAGTAAAAAAGAAAGTACTGAAATATTTTTATTTTTATTTTGGTTTCGCTAATAGAATATTATATATATATATATATCAGCCGGAGATTCCATGGCGGCAGATAGGGCAGGAATATATATATATATCAGCCGGAGATTCCGTAGCGGCAGATAGGGCAGGAATTGCAGTTTCCATTCAAGAGCCAACCGGTAATACAGTTATGGTGATACACATGGCCACACGAAACTCGTCTAGCAGCTTCCTCGGATTTCTCGAAACTTTCCATACAAACAGAACAGATACCGGAGGCATGATTAACCGTCGGCATGCCGGAAACCAGACCGGCGACTGCCTGTTTCCTGGATTGTGGGTTTTCCATCATCGTTATTGCTTGGTCGAGGTCGAATTGTTGAGCACAATAAGGGCTCATTACAGAGTGGTTTTCCGGCATAGTGATTGCGTCGCCGAGGTCAAATTGCTGAGTGGGATAAGGGATTAGACTTATTAGTAAAGAATTATTGTTGCCTGAAACGACAACGTCGAACTCGGCTGAGCCGCTGTTCATGGATGTTGCAGAAGAAGATGGATGTTTCCTTCTAGGACTATGATTTGGAGGCCTTTTTACTGTCGTTTTGGGGAAAGGGTTTCCTTTTGGATATAAGTTCAAGGCATGGCTCATGAGAATGATTCCATCTTCTTTATATCATCGACTGCATCTTTATATGAGCGCATGCATGGTTTCTGGAGAGATATTTTCTTTGGAATTTTCTTCTTCTTTTTTAAATTTAGTGTAATAATTTAATATATAGTTGAAGTCGAAAACAATAACATTTATATCTAATTTAAATTTATAAAAAAATTATTGGTAAGAGATGATTATAAAATAATAGATTCTCAACCAATTCAAAATAAAATAATATTCTATGAACCTTATCCTCGAATTCGAAACTTTAAAAAATAATAATCGTTCATTAATCGTTGAAGTCGCTTAATTCATGAATAAAATATTTAATAGATTGTGTCAAAATTATTTCATATTAATAAAATATGTTTTAAAAATCAGACTAATCATGCATATTATCAAACAAAGAATAAATTTATATTTGTAACTTATCTTATGTATATCAACATCAATTTCATCGGGGGGGGGGGATAATTTATTAAATTAGGAATAAATTATATCACCAATTATTGTATCCAGATTAAATTTATAATTCAGTTATCATATTTTAAATAGTCACAATCATATTCTTCTATTTTATCACAATAATCATACCATTTTATCATTAAAATTAAATATTATTTTTTTAATTATATTTAAATAATCTAACTGTTGTATTTGATAGAGTGACTTGATTGTAATTAAGAAATTAACGTTTATTATACACATATATATAAAAGTGTTTTGATTGTTATAAATGATAAAGAAAATGATATGTGATTTTTTTAAAAATATAATGATCTAACAAATTTTTTATGATATAATTCCTTAAGCTGTAATTTAATATTATATTAATTTAAGCAGTTGATGCTTCAGTAATAAAGAATTTAAGCAACCGACGAGGATCGAGTGTCTTCATTCCTGTTTGACAAAAACACGTACCCAAATTACAAACATGTATAGTCGAGATAAATTATTGTTTAAAAGAAACATAAAAATGCTAAGAAATCAGAACAAGTTTTATTATCAGAAAGTCCATTGTTTTCTTCGGACAATGAAATTGTTGATGGAAAAAAATTGGATTGTGGCCACAGTTTTTTTTTTTAATTAGACGTAGAGCTACATTTGGCGAGGAATCAGTTATTGACCGGTGTTAAAACAATCTGTCTAATAAAGTAGAATATAAGAGAATAAGGGTGAGATGGTTTCATTCAAGTCGCATCCCGTCACATGGTCTTGGTCAAAAGATTTTATGGTGGACCTTAGCAGTTAGCAAGGGAAGAGCTAAAATTTTTATTTTGGGTGCCAAATTTAGAGAAATTTCATTTTGGGTGTTAAATTTAAAAATTATATCAAGAAAAATATTTTAAGCGAATGAAATTAGATTAATGAGTGTCAATTTATGTTTAAGCGTGTCAATAATTTTTAAAAAATATATTAATTTTATTTTAAAAATACTTTTATAAAGTATTTCTCAGTCGAAGGGTTAAAATGGCTACTCGGAAGCTAACTATCTAAGTGGAGTGATGGATTTAATTTTGATAGGTCATGTGGATGTGTCAGAGGTCATATCAACTAGTCGAATCTTCCTGAAGGATGTTATATATTCGATGTTCCTCTTGTAGAGATGTTCTCTCTATATCTTTTGGAGATCTTCGGTGTCTTTAAATTGTAAGGATGTTGTGAGCGAAAGATATTTAGTGGTGATATAACTTTTGTTCCCCATAGTTGATTAAATACCATAAAATGACTTGACATGAGACTTAACCATTGAAGTGCTCATGCATTTAATAATTTGTTTTGAGAAATGTTGTAAGTACTGCTTCTTAAACATCTTCGAGGCTTAAATTTGTGATTCATTGTGTTTAACATGAGACTAATACCCATGTTGTTTTCATGGATATGATGAACCGGATATTCCAACCGTACTTGGATAAGTTTATCGTTATCTTTATCAAGGATATCCTAATTTATTTAAAGTTTAAGGCTGAGCACAACGAGCATTTCAGAGTTGTTTTGCAAACTTTGAAGGAAAAGCAATTCTATGCGAAGTTCAATAAGTGTGAATTCTGGCTTAGCGAGGTAATGTTCTTGGGTCACATTATTTATGCGAATGGTATTTCTGTCGATCCAAAGAAGATTGAGGTTATTCTAAACTGGAAATAGCCTAAAAGTGTGACTGAGGTCCGTAGTTTTTTGGGTTTGGTAGGTTATTGTCAGAGGTTTGTAGAGGGGTTTTTAATGATTACAACTCCTTTAACAAAACTTCTAAGAAAGGATGTACCATTTGTCTGGGGTGAAACTCAACAGTCAAGCTTTGAGCAGTTTAAATTAATTCTGACTCTAGCTCCAATTTTGATCCAACCAGAGTCTAAGAAGGATTATACAGTTTACAGTGATGCATCACACACTGGTTTAGCTTCTATTTTGATGTTGGATAGCATTTTAGTAGCTTATGTGTCTTGTCAGTTGGAGTCGCATGAGTGTAATTACCTGATGCATGATCTAGAGTTGGTTGTAGTGGTCTTTGCGCTGAAAATATGGAGGTGCTACCTTTATAGTGAAAAGTGTTATATCTATACCGATCACAAAAGTTTAAAATATCTGTTGATTTAGAAGGATTTTAATTTGAGACAACATCGCTAGTTGAAGTTCCTGAAAGATTATGATTTTGAGATTGAGCATCACCCTTAAAAGGCCAATGCAGTTGTCCATGCTTTGAGTCGTATGATGACTACTAATTTGATGTCTATATTCACTATCATGAGTTTGTATGATGATGATACTTTGTTGGTTGAACTACGAGTTAAACCTACTCTAATGGTTGAGAAAAAAATCGAAGCAACCCATCTATGCATCCTTGTTTTTCGTTTACCAAACTAGTTGAGTAAGATTATGATTCAGAGTACAACTTTGATGAGGATGGTGTATTGTGCCTCAGAGGATGTTATTGTGTTTTGAATGATCTTGAGTTACAAAATACTATTGTGCATGAGGCTCACAATAGTCCTTATTCTATGCGTCTTGATAGTGTTAAGATGTACCACAATCATAGGGAAATGTATTATTGGTCTGGTTTGAAAAGAGATGTCACTAAGTATGTAGCTAAGTGTCTGACCTGTTAACAAGTAAAGGTTGAGCATCAGTTTTCATCTGGTTTACTTCAACCAATTCAGATTCCTTAGTGAAAATGGAAGCGAGTAACTATGGATTTTGTCAATGGGTTGCCGTTGATGCAGTCTAAGAAGGATTTGGTATGGGTTATCATTGATCGTCTCACCAAGTCTGCTCACTTCATTCTGATTCGAACTAATTATAACCTAGATAGATTAGTTCAATTGTATATTTCTATGATTGTTCACCTTCATGGAGTCTTTTTGTCTATTATTTCTGATTGAGATCTAAGGTTTACGTTTCATTTTTGGAAGACTCTTCATAAGGCTCTGGGTATCCAATTGAATTTCAGTAAAACTTATCACCTATAGTCGGATGGTCAGTCTAACCGAGTTATTTAGATTTTGGATAATATACTAAGAGGATGCATTAAATATTTTCAGGGCAGTTGGAAGGATCACTTACCATTAGTTGAGTTTGCCTACAACAACAATTATTAAACCAGTATCTAGATGGCATCATATGAAGCCTTGTATGGCTGAAGGTTTCGTACTTCATTATGCTAAACTGAGTTATCTAAGAGGATAGTTTTAGGACTGATCTTATTCAGGAGACCTATAGTACAATTAGGTTGATTTGAGGTAGGCTTAAGCCTGCTTTTGATAGGCAAAAGTCTTATGTTGATCTGAAGAAATGAGGTATTGTGTTCAATGTAGGTGATTGACTATTTCTAAAAGTGTCTCTGTGGAAGAATGTTCTCAGGTTTGGCCATAAAGGTAAGATGAGTCAGTGTAATACCCCAAATATCGGTTCAGTGACCATAATAAAATGATTTACAATTTGGATGATTAACTGTAATAAATGGTAAAGTACAAGAAATGAATTGGGAAAATTGTGTTTAAGACTAATTAGTAAGAATGGAAGAATTGAAGGACAATTTAGTCTTTTAGAATTAATGAATTTAATATTCATTTTTATGGAGATATTTAATAAGGTTGGAAAGGGGGAAATGGTAAAAAGGAAAACTTGGTTCTCTTCTCCTTCTTCCTGTTGTCTCGTGCTCTCCCCCATAGCCAAAGTTAAGATTTATTCAAGTTGGTTTTTCCTTTAGTTTATGGGTTGATTTTGAAACCTTAAGTTATATAGAGGTTTAAGGAAAGTTCAAGGATGATTAAAACTAAGTGATTAGTGAATTATATGAGATTAAAGAAAATGGGTTTTTGAGTGTATGATGAAATATGAGTTTTTATTGAGGATTACAAGTAAATTTGACTTGTCCAAGAAGTAAATGAGATATTAGAAGCCTTGAATGTGACTAAAAACATGTATGAAAAAGAAGTGTAATTCTTGGGTTGGAGTGTTCTTTGAAGATTTTAGATGTTATAGGAAGATTAATGATGGAAAGTTAGTTGGGTTTAATAAGGATGGATTTAATAAGGATGGGTTTAATGGTATTGTTGGATGTAAAAGTAAGAGAATTAAACGAAATTTAGGTAAAAAATGAAATGGAAAATGGAAAATCTGGGTAAAGGTATCAGTAGTCAAAGAACAGTACCTATACTATAGGTTTAAATTTAATGAAATAGGATGAACAATATCGATATTGATGCAATTAGTATCGATACTGTTGTGGGCATCAATACTAAAATGAAGGTATCGATACTATGGATTCCAGAATGTAGAAATGGTATCGATACTGAAGGGAGTATTGGTACCATAGTATAGAAGTATGGATACCATAGTAGGGGTACCGATACTATTGAGCCTAGAATTTTAAGATAGGAGGAATTTTAATAGAAATGTAAAATAATAGTACTTTTGAGTATTATTAAAAGTATAAATGTTAGAAAGTATACTAACATTTGTATGGTATGTGTAATTAATTGATGCTTGTATAGATCGTA